CTGTTACCTCTGTTACCTCCGCTACCACTGTTACCCCTGTTACCACTGTTACCCCTGTTACCACTGTTACCTTTGTTACCACTGTTACCCCTGTTACTACTGTTACCTTTGTTACCACTGTTACCCCTGTTACCACTGTTACCTCTGTTACCACTGTTACCCCTGTACACAACATAGACATATATAGACCTGACCTCCTTAGGTTAGAATGAATTAAATCTATTAATAGATAATAGAAGTACTTCCTTTCACAAATAAGACTTTACATAGTATTTTGTGCTATTAGTTGGTTATGTATTAATTCTGTTGAGCATCACTTGGCTACTTCCTCTAGTGACTCTGTGAATTTATCAGAGAATGAGAATAGCCACTATTCAGTTGGTGAATACTGCTTTCTTAGCCAGACACCAGGCCACTGTGCATTATCAGACATGAGTTAGTGGAGTCCACGCTTAGTTTTTCTTACTTTTTATAATTGTTATGCAACAACAATTATCATTGAAAATTGATTTATTAAGTTAATTTTTTTTAGAAATAGACGCATTCACAATCAATTTGTGTGCCAATAAGCTTATTATTCAATTCCATGGATGCTGATTAATAACACCTCATATACAAGTCACGCCCCACATAATTATAGCACCAGTGAACCATTTCACCAGGTTCATCTCATTATAACAACTTATATAAAAGTAACACTGTGTTAAATGGAGATGCTACAGAACATGTTTCAGATAAGTGAGCTGCTCTCCTGACCTCAGGAAGAGTCCCCTACTAGTCTCCGTTTTAAAGCAGGTTCGTTCTCCTTGATAGTTATCCCACACGGCCATCTCTCAATGATTGCAACTCTTCTTCATTTGTTGCAGCAAAAACAACAATCATTGCTTCCTTTAATATTCTGCTTCTTTCTGTTTAACAAGAATCTCACACTGGATAAATACAATGATTAGCACAAACGGTTGGCAATTACTATGTGGCTTATTACATGAGTCTACAAGAAAGCAACTGCTCACATGTGGAGAGTATTAACTTTACTTTTGACCGTACTGTAAAGACTGCTATCTTAGTGGAAAAAGTGGCTTCTCAAGCTAAGCACATGAAGCTCCATGAGTCATACTCTACTGGTATTCATAATGTTAAGGGTAAGCAGCCTAGTTTTCAATCTCACTAGCCTACATGTCATCGTTGTGGAAGTCCTCAGGACCTTGCTCCATCATGTTGTTTCATCCAACAGAAATGCAGATCTTGTGGTCTTGTCAGTCACAATATTAAAGTTTGTCGAAGTAAAGGGAACAAGTTCACATAGTTCACAGGAGAAGAGTGCTTCTCAGAACCAAACTAATAAAATACATCACTTTACACACACTACTGACACTAGGGTACTAGGGCAGTCGACTCGACAAAGCCCCCCTCTCAATCTCTCTCTCTCAGACTGACACACACCAGCACAGTCACAGCACTCTCTAAAGCCCTTTCCTTGTCCTCTAAGACTTTAGTCTACCGTACATACTATCTCCTCAGTTGACTCATCCACTCTTAGTTGGGGTGAGGGCCTAATAATTAAGTCTTATATAAGAGTGAACTTGAATTAGTTGGTATATAGTGTCTGGGCAAGTATGACTGAAGGCTTACATGACCAGAGAAGTGAGAGAACTGACAGTGAGGAGCAAAGTTCTGGGATATATGTAAGGAATGTCCCACATCCAACTGGAGGCATAACAAAGTCTGTCAGCAGTATGTGTGCA